GCTAATGGCATTGTTTCTTAAAGCAGAATCGGAAAGGGACAACGAGTTCTGCGAAATCAATAGCGTAATGAGTATACGAGGGAATGGAAACGTCAGTCGGATTCATTCTTGAGTCTCAAGCTTCAAGTTCCATTCTTTCGAGTTTCAAGTGAAGTTAAGAGTCTTCCAAGAATGTTCGGAAAGGAACATTCGAACTATACAACGCCTGACACGAACGCGGAACTTAAGCGACTGGTATTGACTTGGAACGTTATCAAATCGGTGTTTCCCCGTTGTTTCAGTAAACTCCTCTGTCATTATGTAACTCTGATTTAAAAACGCGGCGACCGCATCGTAACGCGAAATAACAGGAATATGATTGTTTTCAGTTGCCTTGGGATCGAACGTGGCGAGAGGAAGTTGTTACAGGATTACGTGTAAAGGCTCCAGAATCGCGGATCTGTCAGATTTATTCATGGATTTGCCGATTGACCCTTGGCGATTAAACTTTAGAAATGTTTCAGGCAAGAGGAAGAGACGGTTCGACGTTAGATTTGTCTACGGGCGAGCGGTTGTTATTACGAAGAATAATATAACGGTGGGAGCGTCGGCAGTGTAGTATCTTTTATATTATACGCGACTGGTTGTAGTATTAAATCCGTACAGGTTCCGACAGGTTGCCAACCACAAGCTTACTCCACATGTGGCCTCCACATTTCTCCCATGACAAACTCATGCGAAACAGCGTACATCAAACTATAACATACTCTCGCAACTAACACGGGTTGAGCAGCTGCGACACGGTACAAAAGAACACTAGAACCTACCTGTCTAACCCTGCGAGTGTGGGGCGAACGGTGATCGGTATTCGAATCGTCAGAAACAATAATCGCTCTGTGTTGGAATTGATTGCAGATGGTTCCGTTTGCACAGTACATGTCATCGACATTGCGCGTAGACAGGCCATAAATTTATCGAACAGGTCGCGAATCGTATCGTTGATTTTGCATATGTAAGTTAATTACGTCTGGAGGAATTGGAAACGTCTTGTATTCAACAGGTGAAAAGTACACGATGCGATTACGGCTCGAGACTCGATAATGCTAATTAAGAGATATGCGTATTTCTGACTCGTACATTTTCACAGACACGTCGTGTACGATACATTTTATTTGTCAAATGTAAGACGTTTCCCTGCGATATCTCGTTGTTCTCAGTTTGATTCCCTCAAACGATAAATACGAATACACTTCCGGGGAAATTTCAATCCCTATTTACAAAACAAACGAACGAGTTTGCTAAAAAAAAAAAAAAAAAGGAGAAGAACAAGTAAATACGTGCGAACAAACTTATTTATCGCTAATTGCTAGTTTAATGTTAAATAGTTGGTAAAAAGAAAAAAAACAATAAGAAAACTTTGCCTTTTTTGTTTAACTTTAACTGGTCGTTTATCGCATCGCGAGGCATCAATCACAACTGTGCCTACTTGATGATAAGGTAATTGCATATTCACGAATGGTATTTGTTAATAATACGCGCCCGACCGTACGATCGACCGTGAAAGGTAGAATGGGAGCACTTCGACGACTATGTCTTTAAGTAGCGATGCGATTATCGAGCGATACGACGCTAGGTGGCTAAATATTCGAGTAGCGCGCGCATGGGGGGCAAAGGAGTGGGGGCGTGGCAGCGATTGGTACGGCCCTGGTGCCGGGTCCCGTAGCGGTGGGCATGCCTGCGGAAGATGGAAGGCGCACGAGCCGAATAATTTAGTTTGTTTCAATCGGCCTTAAAGCGAAGATCGGCTCGTCGTCGATCGCCGTACGCGTACACAAGACAGAGTTAGAGCCACCGGCTTGTCGTGCGGTTCGCGCCGAGAATGAAATTCTTTCTCTGTCTAGTCGAATACAGCAGTAGTAGCAGTAGTAGCGACTGTATCCCGTTGTACAGCAGTCTCGACTCGAGTAAAAGAAAACGGCTGGAACATTTATGGCCGAACAACGACAGTAGAACCGGCGGCTGTATCGTTTGAACGGATTCTTTTTCACCCGTTACGACAGATTTTTCACGCGTTTCGCTCGACACGGGACGTGACGAAAGGAATCGGCGACGCCCGTTTCTATTTTCGTTTCTTTTTTTTCACCTTTTTCGTTCGTTCTTCGTTTACACACAGTTTTTGCTCAGTGCTTGCTTGATAACTTGGCTCTCGCGTGGCTGGTCCGTCATTTGAGACCGGGCCAAACAAAATCTACTGTAGACAACGCTATACAGTTGATAAAAGAGGCGGGACGCGCCTTAGTTAGTTACATTGGTTTAGTTTTTAGCGCGAGTTTTAAACTCGCGCCAAAGTGTGCTTCACAGTGGATACCTACCATTTTATTTACAACACTAGGCCAGCAGGTTAGTACAGTGCAAGTTACTTTTTCTTTTTCTTTTTTTTCTTCTTTTCTTTTCTTTTTTCTTTTTACCTTTCCTCTCTGTTCTCTTTCGTTTCTGTTCGTTGGATTTCCGAGTGCCGAATTCGAAGTGTTGGTAACAATCGCGATTCACGCTCGTGTGGGAAAATAAATTTCGCGGTTACGTGAGTTTCTTGTTCCATTTTGACAGTTCTACGCGAACGCCGCCACTCGTGACCGGTTCGAGTCAGAATTTCTGCGCGAAACGGGATCGTTCGTGCTTCTTATCGTTCGTAGGACAGATCAAAATTTCAAATACACAGATTTCGTCTCGTCAAGTGTCGCACGAAAAGAACCGGTATCGAAAATTCTGCCAAATCGTCCGATATACCTTCGATAGATTTGTCTGGGGTATTTTGAGACTCGAGTCAACGGTTTCACGTATAAATATCGATGAGATACAGTTATTCCGCGAGAGATGAAATTCCTCGAAAATTTTGTAGTAACTTGTAAGAAGGATTTCTTTCTTTGGCAGTTAGCCGGTCTGTTCGAATATATATCCTGCCTCTTATAAATAGAATTCGATATAACTTGATTCTCGTCGTGTCTTATCGCGTATGACTGCGCTTCTCTGTTACTAGCGGGTTTGGCGCCAAAATTTTTGCCGTTTGATTTTTCAAGTGCAACTCTCAATTACGCTACGTTGATGTTAAATAATTGAAGAAACGCGAGAAGTTGGATCTGGAAATGTGAGAATAATCGTCGAAATTGACATTTTTGATATTCTAGTACCGATCTGACGGAAATAAATTGTTTCAATATACCTCTAAAATTTCAGTTTTACAAAATTTCTATTTTCGTTACTCAGTAATTTTCTTCAACTGTTTTTCTTCTCGGTTAAACTTGCGAAGTTTCAAAAATTACTGTAGTTTCATCCTCGAGTCCCCTTCTTTTACATTATCGGAAATAATTTCCAAATATATATAACGTTCTTTACACCGAATTCTCTTAATGGAACTCTAACGTCCGGAATTTCGAAAATTGTCTCACTAATCGAGTTACAGTGTCGTCGATGCGTTCAAATAATACGCGTCGCGACCCATCGGGTCCGATGTCTGTCGAAAATATGTCAAGTGAAGATAGACACGCTAACCGATATGTTGCACATTCTATCGCAACGTCGTGCAACACGTCAATCTAACCGGCGCGCGGCGTCCTCGCGTGTCTCTGGTTTTCACGAAATCCACGTACGCTTTCCTGCACGAACGTTTTGTAAAAAAAACAAAGAATGAAAAAGGCGTGTTCGTTTCTCATTTCGCTTTTGCCACCGGTGTGTGTCCTGCGTCCTTTCGGCCCACGAAAGAAAGCCACCGTTAATTAGAGTGCGGTAAGAAAGCTGTCAGCTCGTTACACGCTTGAACGATAATGTTCGACGGAAGTTAGCGAGACACACACACACACACGCACACACGCACACACGCACACACTGTTACCTACATCTAAAACTGCTGACGGTGGACTGGTTTCTCTGTTTCTCTTGGCACGTGTAGGCTGAAAATTTCGATCCATGCATCGACACTCGTTCGCGATCGTGGAATGTGTTTTGTGCGTGTCACACACGTCAGATTTTCGAAAGCAGTAGTATCGTTGTCGAATAATTTCTTTTCCTAGTTCTCTCTTTCGTCAGTGTTCATGTTTGCCATCACGCACACGAACTTGCCACGAATCGTATCTTCGTGCGTGCATACATGTAGATACTTGAATTTTTCGAAACCGGTAAAGTGTACGATTTTCATGGAAACACTCATTAACGAGAAGATCGAGCGATGCTACGTTATCGCGGGGAAAGAAGACCTGTTGGTAACGATATAGAAACAGTAGCCTCGGTAGAAACACGACGAATGTTCGCGAGGATTATTATTATCCACTTTTTTCCAAAACATTCGGAGCCACGCTCCGCGTTGCCTCTCTGTGTTTACTATTCGTCGAGGAACATTTCTTTTGCCCGGTCTCTTTGGTCGGCGCTTCGAGAACGGTTTAGCGAAAGTTTATCTCGTTTCTTTTCTACTCCCTTCCTTCTTCTACTTTTTTTTCCTACCCGTTTTTCTCTCACGAGAGTACGTACGAAAGTATACATACCGATGCTTTCTTTCGCTCCCAAGGCCGTTTCTAGGAAGGTGATTTCCCCTACCGGCTGTCTTTTGTTCGATTGAAAGCTAAGGTTAGGGGCAAGAAGGAACGGATAATGTGTCATTGTTTTTCGAACGGTGTTCGGTTTTCACGGGCGGCGAGACTCGTAAAGATTCATTCTCGCGTTTTTTTTTTTTTTTTGTTCCTTCTCGCTGCTTATTTTTCTAGCCGTCGCTCGGTAGTTTTCGATAAGAACTCTCACGGTGGAACGAACTCAAACTATTTGTTCCGATTGTGCTTGTCAAAATATTAATGCCAATATCGTTTGACTTTTCGGCTCTCGATACTTGTTTATTCTTAGCGTAAATATTCCGCGGAATTTGTCTTTTTTGTTGATCGGAAGAGAAGCAGATGTGTATACCAGCGTGTTTTCTTCTTTTTTTTCTTTTTCTTTTTTTTTGGTTTCCCACCGTGTTAACAACGTTAGAATGTTTGGTCACATGATGCTAACGTAGTTGTAAAATTCTGACATACGTTTCCTTTCTTTAAACAAAAAAAAAAAAAAAATCAATAGAAAATTGTTCGTTTTTTCGTTCAAAATACTAGAATTGTCCAGGCACGTGCTAAACACTAATATTTTACAATCTTAACAACTTTCGTATTCCCCCGACTCTACTTCATCCAAATTAATTAATTTCCCGTCGAATTTCATTTTTCGTTCGAACACCGCGTGTTCCGCGCGTTCCTCGCGAGAGTGACAGTTCCCGCGACAATCGGCGTTTACGTAACGATTAATTGGCACGTGGAGGGTGGTGGACGCGGGAAAAAGATAACGGCCGACCGCCGCGCACTTTCAGCTGTCATCGTCGAGATGGGCCTAATCGAGCGGATGTTAATGTTTGAGTTGGGTCGCCGACAATAAAAAAAANAAAAAAAAAAAAAAAAAAGAAAAAAAACCAACGGAACTTTTCTCTGTCAGTGTTGCAGATCCGTGAAACCGATATAGTAGGCGAATTTCGTTGGAACTGTTATGAGTCAGTCGTGCCGCCCATGTCGCGTCATTCCGTTTGACTTCTCGGTGCATGTGTGGTCGTCGTACGAGGAGGAGCAGGCCTCCTTTGATATCCCTCTTTCCCGATGGAACGTCCTCAGCCAATCACTCCGGCCGCGAGTGATCGCGCGAAGATCGAATCTTGTTGCCAGTGTGTTGCAGCGTGTTAGCGTATGCAAATCAATGCGTCACGTCGCGATTACTCGTTGCACTCTGTTTTAGTAACTGAGTCGCGAGTAACACTTGGACAGTTGCTTTTTGGTTACGCGAGATCTCGAGGGTCGCGGTGCAACACGCACCTGGTGGTTAAAACGTACTTTGAACTGTCGGTTTGGGCTGCACGGCATAGAAAAAGACGCGCGTAACGGTTCTCTTCTGCTGGGAGGGAAAAACTTGCGTTCTCTAGGGATGTTTCGTGAAGCGGGTTGTGATTTATTCGAAGGTTAACCTAACCACCTCGTCCGAGCGAATTCGATTCGTACCGGTTTCTTTTTACTTCTCGTTCCCATGTGCAACAAGAGGCTTATCGATCGCCGCAAATGTTTTGCATCTCGTGAACCAAGTATCGTAGGTGTACAGATATTTGATCTTACCCTCTGTAGTAACGCAAGTTTGTGTATCATAAAACCATTGGACAGTTTTCTTTGTTTTCTTTATGTTTATCACTGTAGACCTTCATTAGAACAGTCGGACTTGTTTTTATTGTTACAACACATTAGTCCGTAAGTTATGAATTACTATCATAAAAGTAGTCATTTATTGTTACAACACATTAGTCCCTAAGTTATGAATTACTGTCATTAAGGTAGTCATTTATGAGGGCGAGTCATAAAGTGCCCTTTCTCAGGTACCGAGATTATTTGGGAAAGAAGCGATATTTTTGAGATAATCGTGTCAGTCAGAGAATTTGTTTCTTTTTCTTAAACGGATTGCCATATTAATTTTTGTTCGTGTAAAACTATTTTTTGGATATTTTGGATAGGTAAAAAGTCACGAGGAGTGAAAGTTTTTCAGGAATACTACGCGAAATTATCACTGGACAATAGAAATAGACACAATCTGTCTAAATTTAATTACTAATGAAACATCTTGTTTCAAATTTCATTTTCAATTAAAATTCATTCTGCGATCGTTTCTTATTTCTCTTACAATCTAAAGTTCAATGACAATTTTCGTCACTTCGAACTCGGCACGACTCTACTTTTACGAGCCAATTGCAATAAAACATACAATATTCACAAATAAAAGATAAATAAAAACAAGATTACAATAAAACATACAATATTACACATATTACAATGAAACATACGATATTCACAAATGAAAGATGAATAAAAACTAAATTGTCAATGATTTGTTCTTTTTAGGCGAGATGCCAGTGGCAGAGTGGGATTCTGACTTCGACATAGAACACGAGCCCCCGGACAGCGAAACAGTGTTGTCCGACGACATATGGAAGAAATTTGATTTGGACTTCCTGCCTCTAGATCACCGATCGGACCACTCGGATGTGTACTGCGAATACGGTGTCGATGAAACTATGTTGCCGAATGGCGGGATGGCCTGTACGGAATCACGGAAGAAGATACGTCATCACGACTGCATGTGGGCAGGTTTGTGCATTAGTAAAGAGCACAACAGGACGTTGCCCGCGATGAGGGATTCGCAGATACAGAGGAAAGTTCCAGCTGGTCGAAGTCTTTTGATATCACGAGCGACCGCTTATCTAGGGACGCCGTTGCCCATCAATCACCAACAGTCCCAGCAATTCTACCGTGCGAAATATCATCTGGACAGTGACGGCGAATCCAGTAGACCGGACACGCCAAGCTCCAGCTCCGATACTGAATCAGAGGACGAAGGTCCTTGCTTCAGACACGATCAGATCGATCTATACGAGAAACTGTCGGAGTGTATGCCAGAGGAGGCTACCAAAGTTGCGCCAGTGAACGGGAACCAGCGAGTGGCCGGTCGACGTGGCAGAAGAAAAGTGGAAACTCAAACGCAGTGTCATGTGACAAATATTAAGAACACACTCAGTGATCATTGTTACCATTTGAACCAGCCGACCGTTCAGAATTTGGAACACCTTGGCGTGCAGACACCCTCCGATTCTGGCGAGTCACCGACCGATTCGGGTGAGTTTCGTTTTTCAATTACACGTAGTGTACTTTTGTGGTGTTGCAACGCATCTAGAGTATATAGATCGTGTACTTTGCGTAGATTTCTGCTACGAAAGTTTCAAAAGTTGTCATTTCTTTTTCTTTTTTTTTTTTTTTTTTTATCACAGTGAATAGCTTCGCGTTGTAACGTTTATTTGTATTTCTTCTGTCGACGTAGACTTTTGTTTTTCTTCGTTTTTTTTTTTTAATTTGTATTTTGGTGCAGAGTATAGTCGAAGAAATTAACAATTCTTCAGTATGTGTTCTTGTAACGCAAACTTTTTTTTTTTAACAATCAATTATTATTTGCAACGAACTATTGCGATCATTTCGTTTCTCATTGATGAAAATATCGCGCGAGTTTTACCGCGAAACGAACATAAATGTATCGGTTGTTCCCGGGTCTCGGGATACGTTTTATCTTACGCATCCGCCCAAGGATCAACGAGTTTATTCATCTGGTTCTTTTGTGCCCTCCTAAACGGAGGCAGAGCGCAAGGTCGGACTAAGGATCCTCTTAATCGAGTGCAATTGACGGGCCTCTCCCGGGCGAGAGTGCAGTTCGCCGAATTCGGGTACCCGCATGAGTATGCTAATCATGCGCCTTGGTTGTTCGTCATTCGTCGTGGCAGCACACCAGTACCCGTGAATGCGACACAATCGAGAAAAGAAACTCGTTCCACGGGCGAGTTCGGAGGTCGTTACGCTAACGTCCTCGCCTCGACAGCGGCGTTTCTTTCTTCGTTGTTCTATTCTTCGGTGGGGAAACGGAAAAGATATTTGAAAAAAAAAAGGAAGACGGAGATAGAGAAAGAAAAGAAAGAAACCCGTGAGAATTTCGAGTCGGTTACGACGCGCGGCGGCTTCTCTTTTGAAAAACTTGAACTAAACGCGGAGTCGTGTGCACTAGCCCACCGTTGGTCTCGTGTTTGTGCAAATAATTTGATCTGCCTTAGCGTTGCACGTTCGGAAAACGAATTTTTCGCAGTTTCTCGTTTCACTTGGTTTTCACCAAGTGTGCAAGTACCAAGAACAGAGGGGCGAACAAATTTTCGCGCCGCGATGGCGAGAATAATCCCGACAGAACAGAAGACGTTTTTGTTCTGTGAGAACGTGATTTTTCAGGCACACGCGCGCGTGTCGCTGTTTCTCGGTTTCTGTGGTCGAGAGAGAATTTACAATGTATGAAGTTGGTCGGACAGTCGATAGAGAGAGAAAGAGAGAGAGAGAGAGAAGACCCCTCCTTTCACGTGTGCGTGATCTCGTTGTCGGCGTGTGTGCGTCGCGTTGCTGGTCCTCGTGAATATTTTACGCAACGGTATTTCCTTAGATGCTATCGTCTCGCTACCAGACGAGATATTCCGTTCGTTTTAGTTTAATAGCGGCGAAGGTTACGGCGCCAGCGTACGACTAGTCACGGAGTGTAAGTGTAATTTAATTGTCTGTATACGCGACGTTTGTTCGCTTCCAATGACGAGAATGATTGTTATCGGTGAAGAAGGGACCCTCGATGGTTAATCTTGCTGCATCAATAGTATTAGAAAATCGATTACACGGAATTTGTGTTAAGGATAAATTCTTCTTTCTTAAGAAATGGGAGTGAAACAAGGGCAAATGGGTTTGGTTATTTCAGATATTAACGAACCCCTTGAGTTACGTTAAGCTAATTAGAACAGCTGATGATAGTTCTCAAAGTGTTTTTAATACTCTTAATAAGAAGAGCTTAACAGTTGGTCAAATATTTCATTGCAATATATTACCATGTTAAATACACGCAGCTCGTTTTTTTAGTTCTACAAAATTTCACACTGTAGTATAACATTTTAGCTTTTTTTAAACATTGATTCTCTTTGTCGGTTTAACCTGGACGCGTTATGCCAATTTCACGCGTGTAATATTCACACACGAATATTTAGCATTCGCATTGAAACATACGTACACATTCACAATATTCACATTAGCGGGCATTTAGTATTCGTTCCGAAGAGCGAACATTATTCCTATCCGTGTCGGTAACTTCACGCATATCTAAGCGCGCAAACACTTGTTTGTCTCGTGCCATACAGAACGTAGGAAACGCGAATATCGAAGTCAAAAGAACATCAGGGGGGAATAAACGCGCGATTGCGGACGACGAATCGTATAATTGGAGCTCCTACGATCGTATGCGACGAAATTATATGATCGTTCAACAATGAGAAAGTAGCAGTGTCCCATGGAAAAGATAAATCGTATTATAATTTATTCGTTGGTTTATTTCACGACGAGTGGAAATCTCTTACGATATCTAATACCATTACAGAAGGTACAAAGTTGCAATGGAATATTTGGAAGTTGATGTAGATGAAACTTCATTTTATTTGCAAATGAACATTAATTATTAATACGACTCGGTGTAGAACAATGTAGAAGATTGCTGTTTACTGTATTTTTGTGGTTGTAGAAGTTAGTTTGCTATCCACAAATAATACACGCAAGTACATAAGTCGTTTGAAGAGTTCTAGGAATGAAATGAACGGACAAATAGCGTCATCGCCAAATTTTTATTTTAATAACAACGTTCAGTTCGCGAAGTTGAGTCTCTTCAACTTTTTCATCCGACGTACGATTATTTAATCTGTAATTTGGAACTTTATTTCTCTCGATTTGAAAAAAAGCAGACTTCGCAGCGGTGTAATTTCGTAATAGGCGCTTAAAGGCGCCGCTGCGCGGAAGAGTTCGCGCAGCGGCGGTACCGGTGCGCGCGCAGAAAAATGTGCAGGCGCGTCGCGCGAATTCCTCGAGTGGTCATTTCAGGGGTGTTCTGATCTTGGCAGCTCGCGATTAGGTTTCCAGCGGTCGGTTTTCAGGCCACGTCACGTATAGCTTCTCCCCGTAGCCGAATGAAGACGTCGTTTCATCTTGTTCGCCTGGTCTAACTATAGTGATTCCGGGAGTGAGAGAGAATAAGGGTGGGAACGAGAGGGGGATCTATGTACAGTTTGGCGCGACTCGCGTAATTTGCTCGAGCTATGCACGTTGCCGTCTCGCCTAAGGGTGGGGGAAAATTGTGTCGTTTGCCACCTGAAAATACGTTGCGCCACATGGCGACATCCTAACGTCGTTTTATAGATACCCAGAGCACACGCGCACACAGAGATAGCCGGGTGTTGTTCGATACGCCGCAGTCGCGCGCGTATGCGTGGCTCGTTTGATAGGAGAGCATGACGAGGAAAGAGTCGCGTAACGACCGCGCCGCCCTGCCCGCACACACGTGCACGCCGTTTGCACTTGCGTGCACGTGTGCAAGCGACACTGAACGCACGCGCACGTGACCCGACGCTTAGCCGCGGTGCGGCCACCTTTTCGTTCGATTACACGTCAATTCGAACCACCGATGCACCGGAGCCGTGTGTGTTGCGGTACGTCGTTCTCCAATATTCCTACGTCATGCTTACGGACGCGTTCGATGTGAAGTGACATGTTCGAGCATACTCGCGAAGTTGTTTTAACCTTCATGTTCCCGCCAGCTTCTCGCGATCTTTGTTTCAAAGTCTGTTTTCGCACGTTTGCCTACGCGTCTCCTTTAGATAAGGAGGTTGTCGGTGTGAGAGGAGAATTTATTTATGTTAAACTATGTCGAATCGCAGATTCAGTATATCGATCGATTTGAAGCGAAACGGGCAGCGTGTTTGCTCGTGACACAGGTAGCGATCGTGGACGTGATTCGTGAACGGAAAATCGATCGGACTGGGAGAGACACCGGGTAGCGATCGGCTGTAACGTTGTTTGATCGACGCGGTTGAAGTTTCTCAGCGGGCGAGGAACGGGAGAACGAGCGGACGGTGAGAGAGAATTCTTCAGCGTAGTACGTCGACCGTAGTAACCGACCTCTTACCAGAGCTATACGCCGTTTCCTGATCGGGTTGGCTTAATGGATCAAGACGACAGTATCGTGCGACCGGACACTACCGTAGATTCGGCCTTCGTGTTGTCGTGTCACCGTTCGTAATTGGTAATTGCCAAGGGCCACGACTTGCAAATGGCTACTTTTGACCGCGGCCAGACAGATCAGTGAAACGACGAGAAACCGGTGCACCGCGACGAATGAGACATGTCCTCGTTAAATGTATTAATGATTACCTAACATTTTTCTTTTCTTTTTTCTTATTCGAGAAGCATTAACGAACGTCCGTTCTCGTTTGATAGTCAATGGATTAAAATATGAATGAAAATGGTCGATCCAACGAAATTTTAACGTCGATAGACAGACTCTAATTTCGAAGAGAGTGTACATACGTAATCAGCTCTCTTACTTTTGCGTAATTTCTGATTATGAGGGCTGGCCTCGTTTCGGCCACGAGAAAGCACCCGATTTTTGATATCTGGCGAGACCTCTGCACCGTTGTGTCCTCTCCCGTCTAATCTGATTTGTTCGAGAGTTCACGGTATTATTTTTTCACCCTTCGTCTTCCGCCGCCTGACGTGGACATGAGGCAACACGTACCGATAACGAACCTATCTTTCCCTTTCCCTCTTCGGTTCGCTTCTACGGACTTCAGATAATGTCATCCATGTTTATCGCTCATGTCTGTTTCTCGTTCCCGATTCTCCCGACGATTGAGAAAGGAAATTTTTCCTCTCGCGAAGGGGAACTCGAGACGTTGTTACGGATTTGTCAATTTCCTTCGAGTCGCAGCGCTTCTGAATCCAGCAATTTCCCTCGGCGCGAGACGAAGGTAAAAAAAAGTCAGAGTTGCTACACCGTGGAAGCATGACCGGGGAAACGCATGCGCGTCTTCTCCATTGCGAACAATGGGTCGCGGACTAGGGGGCTGCGCCACGCTGCGTGACGTCTGCGGTATCTGACCGGTCATTTACTGCCGGCTAGTTTACGTCGAGCGTTACATCGCCGCATCCTCGATCGCCTCGAACTTTCGCTATTTCCCCCCCCCCCTTCCCCCCCATTTTTTCTTTTCTTCGCGAGAATGAAAGAG